TGCTGGGAGCTCCTCAGCAAGAACAGCTTTGTTGGCAAAGGGGGACGGATGGAAAACAGAGCTCTGTTCTCCTTCCAAAATGCCTTTTGCTGACTGCGTGCTTTGATCCCGGATTAGGAGAGCATGTTGGAAATGAAGTGATGCTAAAAGCGGGCCGGGCTGAACGCTGCTGCTCAGTCCCAGCAGCACACAGCAAGCTCCTCGGCACCCAGCCCATGCTGGCCCAAAACATTTGCTTTTCCTCCACCTGCCAGGGAGCTCCAACGGCAATTAGAAGGCTCAGGCTGCTGGGGATGCACTTTTTCCTCTGGATTTTTTTCTTCTTCTGCTTCCAGTTTCCTTCATTTCTCTTTCGAATTTCTCTCTTTTAACTCTTGGCTTTTTGCCCTCGGGCCATTTTCCTGCTGAGCCAAGTGGGAAGGAAGGCGAAGAGCAAAACCAAGATGCAGAAACTCACCTCCCAAAACTCCAGAGCCCTGGCAATGTCAGCACTGTCTGACACAGCAGGGGAGGAGATGAGGAAGGGGATAGGGAAAGCAGAAAGAAATCAAGCTTTTGCCCCTTTGCAAGTCAAAAATGTCCAGTAGTAGAAATGTGATATTTAGGCTGGCTTGGAGCTGTCACAACAGCCAAAAATCCTTTTAAATCATGCTTGTTCACAGGGGGAAAAAAAAAAAAAGCAGAAAAAAGAACACAGTCCTCTGAGGATATTAAGGAAAACGAAAGGCAGGGATAAATAGAGAATGGTATAGCAATTGCACCTCTTGTACAATAGACATGGTTTCTTTCTCTGCTCAGCTTGAAGGCTGAGCATGACAGCCGCCTCATTAACAGCACTGTACAATAACATCTCCTTGCTATTAATATGCAAATTGAAACGCACACACTGATTAAAAACATATTAGACAAAGGCTGGTGTCAGAGATGTGAGAGGAACACCACGAGGCTCGATTAGTGAGCAGCAGACCACAGAGGGGCTGCTGCTTAAACTTGCCAGCCCTGGGATGGCAAACCTCAACTGATGGTCAAGGAGCTGTTAGCATCAGCACAGCAACACCTGCAGGCAAGGACCTGCAAATGGAGCCCTCTGATGTGCAGGACGTGGCTCTGTCTGGAGAGCCCTGCAGCTTGGAAGAGCACGTGGCAAAGAGAAACATTGCTGGGACAGCAGGAATACCTCCATCATCCCCATTCTGACACTGGAAATAGACTAAAAAAGGTCTCCTGAAGTCTTCGGTGCAGTAACGTAAGTGGGGAACGCATTGGGATGTTTGCTTTTTCTTTCTTTAGGTCACAAATATTTAACAACCAAATTGGGTTCTCTGTGCCTCTCACTGCAGCAAACACAGAGATTCCAAACTGCTCTCAAGATGGGAGAGGACCAGGAGCTCAGAAGGACTCAGAGAACCACGGTGAGCACCTGGCACAGCCTGGAGGAGGGATTTCACTCATAGAACTCAAAGAGAGTGGAAAATGGATCTAAAGGTCTGGGCTTGCTAATGAGGCTGATGCAAGAGGAACTTAACAGTTTACACACAGGGAGCATTCTTCTCCCATGATTAATTTCTTCCTACCAAGCGGTGTGCCTTAGGGCAGAGTCACTGTACAGACTGTTGCCATAGAGCTTTATTGCCTTAACACGGGAAGCCAGTTAAGAAAACATGCATTATTTGTGCTGTCATGTGTCTGAGCATAGAACAGCACAGGAAGGCAGCCTGTGGCCCTCTGAGACATCACTGGACAGCTTCACATCACAGCCTGAGGAACGGTATTGGGGTGTGCTACAGAACTTGAGCAGAACACATCTACAGGATCGCAGCTCTGGTGTTAGAATCACACCTCCAGCCACCAGCAGCGCTCTGTTAACACTGCTCTGCAGGAATGTGTGTGTGTGTGATGCAGCCAGACTGATGGTTATTACCTTTCCTGACACTTTGACGTGGAATTTTGAGCTGCAAAAACGTTCGAGCGGAGCAAAATCACCCCCTGTAATGTTCGGCTGTGCTGCACAAAAAATGCAGCCTGCGTAGCTTTGACGAAGAAATTATAGGCAAAAGTCCTCACCCCTCAATTTAAACTAACCTTGAGGGATGCAAGGGTTTCACTGCTTCCATTGCCAAAGGTCCCAGATGTAACTGCACAGCCTTTAAGCTTGGGATGCTGTACCCATCTCAACATCAGAGCAAAGTGCGTGGTCTGGAGGCAGTTCTGCAGGGATTGCTGACTTCCCACCAGGAGATTTGTCTTTTTATGTCTTGCTTTGAAGGCCTAGTGAACTTCAGAAAAGGAAGAGATTAGAAGGATTTAGGGACCAAAGCCTGCAGCCATGCAGGCAGGCAACACATCTAGGGAGGGCCATCCTGGCTTCTCAGCCCAGCACACTGCAGCAGGAGCACAGCTGTCTGCACACCTGCCCAGGAAAAGAAATGATGTTTGTGCTGTGATTAATTTGCTGCCATTAGTTCATTGTGATTACTGAGCACACACGTTAGGAACTTCTCCTTTCTCTTGGCAGCATCACCTCTGCAGCACCCTGAGCACAGAGTGGAAGGAGGAGGAGGGCTGTGGGAGTCTGGGGGGGAAGGAGCTCAGAGAATTCCCCACCTGCCTGCACGGTGTGCTGTATTCCTGTACCACGTTCCCCCTGTCAAGAGGCAGTTTGCTTTTTCAGAAACACTGCCTTACATTATCACCCAGACCACGATAAATGAAAGAGCCCCATAGCTATGGAACCCAAGGAGACGCTTATTCATCTGCAAACAGCCCATTCTCCTGCACACATGAAAGGCATTGATGCAAGAGCACAAATTAATCATGTAGAGCTTCTTTAGCACTTCTACTGACCCCAGAGAGTAAACAATTCCATGCTGCAGCACATCCAACCTTTCCCTCTGCACAGCTGAAGGCAGAAGTACAGCAGCAGTCAGGGAAGAGGTGACAGCACCAAAGGTCACGCTGTAAGGCTGCACTCCTGTCCTCCTCAGCAATGCAGTCATTTTCCTCCACCATCTGAATTTTGCTTCTGTGCCCCCTTACCTGAGGATTGGGCTCTTTGCCCCATTTTCTTTGCAATCTCCATGATCAAACACGACCATATTCATATTTATTCCATCAGCAGCGAGGATGAACAATGGTTTGCCCTGTTTGGTTGAGCAATTAGCCCAGCTATTGTACAGATGTAGCCTGTCCCTTTGATTAAATGCCAAATGAAAATAAAGTGCTGATCATTGCCCATTATCTACCAATAGATTTCATATGACAAAAACAAACGAGCAAAACCAAAAACACAGACACAGGAAACCCACAATGCAAAACCACAGAGGTCTCATTTCTTCTTCTTCAACTGGTGGGGGTCTATTGAGTTTCATTGCTGGCAGGCAAAATAAACACAGCCTTCTGCAGAGCAACGTGTGTTATTGATCAGCCTCCTGATTTAGGAGAATTATTTCTCTTCTCTCCCAAAGATTTGCAAACAGTCCTTTAGAAACACATCTGGGGAGCTCGGGCTTTTAATTGCTTTCTCAAGGTAACATAATCATTTTCACCAACAAAAGAGGGTTTGTTTTCATCAAACAGGTAAGCGAGGTAGTGAGGGATTTCAGAGTCCCAGGTGAGATAGTAATTAAAACCGGTGGCACAGCACTGCCAGAAGGGAGGAGAGCTGAGCAGCTTTGCAGTGCCCATCGGGTGCAGCAGCACAGCCCTGCAGCAAACATCCCGGAGTGGGAGAGGCACAAAGAGCAGAACTGTCAGCAGCAGTGACACTGTTTGCTGTTCCTCCACAAGCAGGCACTGCCCACAGCATCCTCTGCTACCGAGCTCGCTGACTTACCAGCAACCACACGGCAGACATACAGTGACAGCAGTGATGCTATGAACACATCAAATGACATTTGCACCACAGCTGCAGCTTTCCAGGTGATGTGCCCAACTGCCCCTCATCTGAAAGACAGCTCTGCTCAACACCGAAATGCAGAGCAGCACGTCCTTCCTCTGCTTTGATTTATCAGTGTGCACAGAAGCGGGTGGAGGATGCAGATTGACCTGTTTGTTCAGTTTGTTCACCAGGCAGAGAATTCACAAACCTGTGGGTGAAACTCAGTTTCCCAACGCAGAGCCAACAAGCAGAGAAGGGCACCGGCTCACTTTGAGATGCTGCATTTCTGGTAAATGAACTGATGGAGCTGTAGGCATCACCATTCTCTTCCAAAGACAGCAGGCAGCCTCTGGTTGAGCGTGCTCAAAGAGGAAATGTCAGAGCCTGTTATTTCGGAGATGCAGAAGCAGGGAAATGGGCAGTCTCAGAAGGATTGTGCTACTACAGATATACAAACCAACCAGATTGCTCTGGAAGAGGTGGTGCTTAATCTCTACCAACATTCTCAAGGCAGGTTCGCTGCATGCAAAGTGCACTAAAGGAGCTGGTAGAGCACGGGGCACAGCAAGGGTTGCTCTGCATTGCTTGTAGGACATACTTGCAAATTTGATCTTGGTTATCTCAGTTCTCCGCGTTGCAGCAGGCTAGGCAAGAAATCTGCTCCCTCTCTGCTGACTGCAGCAGAGAGCCTAACACCATTGCAAACCCCCTCATTTCCAGTGGGTAGGTACTCACATCTCAGCTCACCCCAACACGGGTGAGGAGTTCACGCCTCACAGATGAGCTGCAGATGAGGACCCAGCTGGGATCCGCACAGCACTCCTCCTGGACATCCGAGGCCGTTGCACTGTTTTCTTTCCAATCCTTTGTGGCTTTTTCCTCCCCGTTAGCAAGGTCCCACTCCCCACCATGGGGCCTTGGCTGTGCAGCCCCTCTGACAGGTCCAGGAGGTTTTCTGGAGCAGCTGGCACTGGGAAATGTCCCCACAGGGCTCCTGCATCCATGTCCTGCAAGCAGCCTCCACGGCAGCCTCCCTGCCTGGCACCCACCGCCCTGCTGCAGAACGAGGGGTGTTGAGCATCGCTGTGCATCCAAAGCCAGCAGAGCAGACAGCTCCCATCCACCCAGCAGCAGTCCTAAGGGCAGGGAAAGGATCCTACGCTTTCACTTCAGCTTTCTCCTCCCAGTGAACCGTTTGTTTCTCTGAAGACGAAGAGGAAAGGAAAAACATTCATCCGTTATTCAATCCCTGCGGTTCACTTTTGGAGGTCAAGGTGTCGGCACAAAACCATGCTGGAGAAGGTGAAGGAAGCGTGTTTATTTCTGGTTGGAGGCTGATTACATCACGACCGTGGATTAATGCAATAGAATATTTTTATACTCTCGGAAGAAATCTAAGAATAAATATGAAAAAAGTAAAATAGTTCCTTTCTTCTGTCTGTGGCGATGAGTGATGAGTAAGCGTCGTATTTACAGGATAGTTATCATTCTCTAAACTCTGTGCTGAATAAATATTATCTTGAAAGGGTAAAAAAAAAATCCATTGAAATATTTTTTAACTCACCACAAAATTAAAAAAAAAAAAAATTGATAATAATAATAATAATAACAATAAGATCCGTGTATCTGTCCAAAGCGAGGGTTAATTACGTGTCAGTCATCCACTGCGTGGGGTCAGTGTCCAGGATAGCAGCCTTCCTCCCTGCAGGTGAGGCCTCAGTGCTTTTCCTTGCTCCAATCCCATGCACTGCTACTGATTCTTCAGGCTGCAACACAGAAATGGAGCAGGGTCACATTCAGCCCTGGCATTCCTGGTTCGGATGCAGGGCCCTGCTGGGTTTCCCTTGGCTGAGTTTTGAACGGGAGCAATGAGAATGGTTTGGTTTGTAAGAAAAAAAAAATATATATATATGTATATATAGGAAACTTTAAGCATAGAGATGGGTTTTGTGAAAGGGAAAAGGATGCTTTGCTTGGATCCTCAGTTTAAATGGATGAGATCAGCACCACCTGCAAAGCCACCAGGAAACAGCTTTGGCCAATGAGGGGCTCCTCGTTGGTTGATATCAGACTGATAGATCAGAAATCAGCTGTTTATGCTTGGCATTAAAATAATTAATCTGCACACCCGGCACCACAAAACCAAGTCTATGGCTTTCAAATTATGATCAAAACAGCAGATATCAGAGATACCTTTATTTCCCCTTACTTTAAAGGGAAGGGAGAGACAATTTAATCCTGTAATGAGAGAAAGTATTACTTGCTGCTCTTCATAGGCAGTGTAATTATTCAGCTGATCTCTGGAACCACTGAAATAATGACAAATTAGAATGCCTTTCAGTTCCATCTACCTTTTAGAACTGTTCATCTTCTGGAGTTATTATCACTCCAAAGGCTTCTTTATATTTTAGGCAGTGGCCACCATACATCACAGAAAACACACAGAAAATGTTTCTGCTGCCAATAAAAGTTGCCATCAGCCACAACAGGCAGCAAATATTTGTTTATGCTTTCTGAAATAGACTGAAAAAGATACGGGAATGCAATCTGGTGAAGAGTGACATTTGTCCAGGCACGATATTTACAATATTTTGATTAGCTGCAATGGCTGAACGGCCAAGCAGCTTATGTTAATAAATGCCCCATTCCAATTAGACATCTGTGCTCTGAATCAGGATCAAAAAAATGGAAAGGAGCCTTCGGTGGCACGAAGCCTGCAGTCATTGCTCCTGAGCTGCCCATCTATCTTTTAGGCTTTGCAGGAAGGGCTGGGAGGGAACAGTTTACATCAAACCACAGAGAATGAAGAATTTTGTTGCTTTCGGCCCATTCCAAGCCAGCACATGGTTTTCCCCCAACGTTTTGGATGTGACACGACCTTGTTCTGCAGCTCCTCACAACCCCATCTTTCGGCTGCCACCAATCCCCATAGAAACAGAGTGCTGGCTGCGGCCAGCTGAGCTGAGCATCGCTGGGTTTGGGGAAAGGAGGAAGGGAGAAGGGCAGATTACAAAAAAAGCCAAAAAAAACCCCACATCTATTTCTGGAAAGTAAGTCAAACAATGACTCAATCACCACTGCACAGTTCATAAATCCCTAATTAAAGGTTTGGAGCTCCTCCCTGCTGCAGATGTTCCAGAGTCCAGCTGCAGTGCCTGCGCAGCATGCCCAAGCATGGCAGCACCCAGCGGACTGCAGCTCCCAGCAGCGCAGGGCAGATGATTCTGTGATGATTCTGTGATGTTGGCAGAATGGGGAGCTTGAAAGAAACGTTCTCCACCTGGCTGGAGAGGCAGATCCCTCACTTTGGTCAGAGGTATTTTTAAAAGATGCCTTTTTGCTTCATTTTCAAAACTTAAAGCATCTGCATCCTGCAGAAGAAGTGGAAACGAATACTCGTTACCTTGCTCTGTAAATTCACTGAGCAGAGGGATAAAGACAAGTTCAACACCAGCTGCCTCCTCCTATGTTTTTATTCAACACCACAGCATCAGCAGAGGCATTTCCAGCTACTTTTCCTCCAGCACTGCATGGAGATGCACAGGAAGGGCTGAGCCCCACATCCCACAGAGCATCACCTGAAAGCTGCTGTGTGCTGGGTTATTTAAAGCAGCTCCAGCAATGGCCTGGATGCACGGTGCCCTCTGAAGAGCTCTGGAGCTATAATCAGTATCTGCTCCTCATCTCAGCCCTCATAAACATTCCTCTCTGCCAAAGCAGCTTTTCAGAGAACTCATCTCCCTGGTACATTATGGGTGCTCCCAGCTTCCAGCCTGCAATCACCATTCTGCCTGTCCCAAGCTAAACCTCTTCCTTTACAACTCCTTTTTTTACGATATTAAGTATGACAAGCTACATAAAATGTTTTGTTGCCTTGGCAACTGCAATGCGTTAGCTTCAGTGTGGGTTATGAGGAAGAGGACAGCCTTGATGCTAACCCACAGTAATGAGAATGGCACAAACCAGTGGGCAAAATGCTGGGCCAGGCATTGAGGGCAAGGGCCCCCAGCACTCACAGCACCTTGCTTCCCTGTGCCCACATAGAGGACAACGAAGCTACAGAAATGCCTTTAAACAAAGAGAGCAAAATGTGGTTATGCATTAATTACAGGGTGGGAAGAGCTTTTGTTTTGCACGAACCCAAGCTGCCGAGCCATTGTCTCCCCTTCTTCTGCACTTCCCTACAGTTGTGCAGTGCTCGGATCCTGAGGCTGAAAGATGATTGTGTAAGAATGAACAATGGACAGAGGAAAGGGAATAATCAGAGCAATTTCCCATAGAAATGGGACAGACAAATGTCTCTCATTGGCATTCTGTTATTACATTTGTACCACGCTTCCTTACAAATCCATCGCTTTGTTTTTCTTTGTCCTGAGTGCCCACGAAAATCTCTGGGGACGAGATTTAAATCATTAGCAACGAGTGATAAGCAACTAAATTTGGAATGACAGATAAGAATATTAATTTGTAAAAGGAGGAGGTCCTTGGAAGAACAGTGGAAGCCCTGCAGCCTTGCAGCTACTCCTGTGCTCCTCCTGCCCCAACTTTTGCTTCCAGCCAAAGACAACAACCCAGTGCTCTGCTGCAAACACACTCCATAAGGCTCCAAATTCAGCCAAGGGAAAAGGATGAAGCAAAGTACCTTTGAAGTTTCTGTCAGTTGGAAAGAAGCTTTTGGAAAAGCAACAGATGAGAAAGGAATCCTCTTTCTGCAGGAATGGTGTAAGGGCTGGAGATGGGACTCTGCTAACTGCAGGACATTGGGCAACAAAGCAGGAGGTGTGGGCACTAAATAGGGAACGCCAGGCACTCACTCACTCCATGCTGAATAAAAGGAGTGCATCTTTTCTGCACATCCCTATTTCCCGTCCATGAGGCTGCTTTGATTTGAAACAAACTCCTTTTTCCTTTGCAATAACAACAGCAGCAATGACAGTGATAATAACACAAACACTGAAAGCCTGGCAGGGGAAGGATAAATTACAGCTCCACGCCTCAGCAGCACATTGCAGCTGCTCCCACCTCGTGTTTCCACCAGGACGAGCTGTCAGCTCTGCTCTCCAGCAATGGCACTGACACTGATCCATCAGCACTGTCCCCGTGTGTAGCCCAGAGCTGCATTGCACACACCAAGGAGCAGGGAGATGGGGTGGGGGCTGCCTGGGGCTCCCCATTCCCTGCACAGCCACCCCGGGCATCCCATAGCTGCCTCCCACATCCCACCCCCCAATGGCACGGAGCAGGAGGTTCATCACCACTTCCTCCCACTAATGAAGATATAAATCCAGGAAGGGTAATATTTGTATTAAACAGGACAGAGCTAAAGTAAATAGCAAAGAGAATACTGGAAGGTCTAAGATCAGCGAGGGGAGGGCTGCACTTGTCTCTTTTTGCTTAAGCCACCAAAAGACATGCTTAAGACACCAAAAGCCACCCTTAAAGCTGCTTCAGGTACTTCAGTAACAAATGACATCTTTATGTCCTTCCTCTAATCTGGGCAGCCCTTGGTCCTCCAGCCTGAAACAGTTCCCAAAGCTCACATGTAAGTGTATTAAGAGAGATTAGTTCATTAATCTACTCCCCTTTACCGTGTCTCTTTACCACTTCATTTTAATAATTTGCACTAATTGACAGAGCAGATTCCCTCCTAAACTCACGAACTTGGGCAGGACATTTGCTGTAAATCACAGCACATTTTCAATTGGAAACACCTGATCCTATCCCCAGTGCCTCCGCTGGGGCTCAGCACACCAAAGGTGCTCCCAGCACAATGTGACCACAGGTACCCACAGCACCCCAACACACACACAGAGCATCATCAGCCCTCAGCAAGAAGCACAAAGCATTGCTTCCTATAGTCAGAGAGAGCAGTGAGGTGCTGGAACAGCTGCCCAGAGAGGCTGTGATGCCCTGTCCATCTCTGGAGGTGTTGGAGGCCAGGTTGGATGGGGCCCTGGGCAGCCTGGGCTGGTATTAAATGTGAAGGTTGGTGGCCCTGCGTGTGGCAGGGGGTTGGAAATTTATGATCCTTGAGGTCCCTTCCAACCCTGGGAGTTCTGTGATTCTGTGCCTCATCACCCCAGCAGGCACAGATGGGCAGAGGACCCCCGGAACACGGTGGTACCCACTTGGTCTGATGCTTGGAGCCCTTCAGGTGCGCGTGGTACTGCTCTATGGAGTTCAGTGTGACGTTGCAGATGTTGCACGTGTAGCTGCGCTTCAGGCCTGCAAAGAGAAGCCAGGTTTGTTAGCTGTGTACCTGCTGAGCCTTGTTGGTGCAGGCTGAGGGCTGTGCACGGAGAAAAAGCATCTCTGTGCTGTAGGAAACGGCCTCTGCCTGCGCCACACACTGCTCAGAGTCAATGCAGCAGACAGAGGGTGCCAACAGCTGCAGAACCAGAGAAAGGAAAGCATACCATTTGCCCCTCACAAGCTTCTAATTAATCAGAAAGCACTCAGATCTCCCAGCTTTATAGACTTTTCTCCTTACAGTAACCTCTCTATGTACTTTTCCAGTCCAGGGTATCCAAGCACTGCTGAAGCCAAAAAGAATATTTGGAAAGGCACAGAACCACGCAGGGCTCAGAGGCAGCTGCCCAGGGACACTGTGGTCCCCTCAGCCGTCCCATGGCTCTCACAGAGCATCATTGTGCTCAGAATAATGAGCACTGAGGCCCCAGCTATTCCCCTGCTTTCTGCTGCACGGATCGGGGCCGTTCCTCACCACATTCAGAGGCTGCAACCACTTGGGAGCTTTTTTCCCAAGAGGATCAACCCATCCGTTCAGCTGAGGTCCCCTCCACGGCAGGGAATGGAGCAGCTCTGCATGCAGCCCTACGTGCCGTGCCAGAAAGAAGGGCAGAACAAAAGCAATTGCTGGTTTCTATAAACGGAGCAAACTTGGCAACAAGGCACAGAGGGTCGGTACAACTCGTGGGAAAGGATGAGGCTCTCCTCTTCTGCAGAGCACACCAGTTAACTTCGTCGTTCTTTCACCTTGGGAAAAGAATACAGCGGTTGCAAAGAGGAATGACAGAAACAGGCACTCCTGTGCCTCACCTAACATGTTTGCACAGCAAAGGCAGCCGTGGCTGAATGTGCATTAAACACCCGTTTCCCTCCTGGACATCCTTGAAACAGAGAGATGGCAATCAGAGCTTCTGACTGCTGCTATGCTGCCGAGGCTTCACATAAATTAAGCACATAAATGCAGACCTAAATGTTCCCAATCCCCGATTCTGTTGTCTCCCTTAATAGCCTGCATGTAAGAGACCCATTTCTGCTCTCCTCCTCTCTTTTGTATTTAACATCCCAAGAATTCCCCGGGCATCATTGGCAGTATTAGCATTGCTGCATTAAACACACATCGGCATTACAGCAAACCATTGATGCTCAAATAATTCTGCCTTGTTCTCTTAAGAAAAAAAAAAAAAAAGGAGGGGGGGGATTTTAAATTCCAGTGTCAGGTTTCTGCTTTGCACTGATTCACTTCCATGAAGATCTGAACAGAGCATTTCAACGTGGAAACACAGAGGTGTGGGATTCCTACCGCAGGCTGCAGTTCTCTGTAAGAACAATTCTAATGCACCCTGCAGCCATCCTGTTGGTTTCCCACACCAGTGCAGTTATTCCTGCACTGATCCCAACCAGAGAAAGCTGTTAGGAAATTCTGTCCTGTCCATCTGCATATTTACTTTGGTGTCCTTGTGACACATCAGCATTCCCTCCCTTGAATCATGACACGCGTTCATGTAAAATTGAATGCACTCATATCCATTTGATAAAATATTAAAGAATGGAGTCATTAATGTCATTCTGCATGAAATGCATTAGAACACATTCCAGGAGAGCACTTGTTCAATCACATTTCACCAACCAAAATTGACAGCACAGAATGAAAAGTATTTATAAAGCATATGAGGAAATTATGAGCCAGGAAGGAAAATTCAACTCCTTTGCAAGGTAGCATCCACACCTATGGCAATTCATCCGTGCACAGAGAATGCAAAGGCTGTGGGTGATGGCATCCCGTGCAGCCACTGATTCTGCCCCACTGCTGAGTTGCATCCCAACCCCACGCTGTCACCTCTGCTGCTCACCCCAAGCAGCCCCCAGGCAAACACCCAGAGCCCTGGGACGGAGCATTCGTGGACAGCTAAACCTCATACAGATGGGAGAAATGGTGCTGCCACTGAGGCTCCTTTCTCCCCTCCCCTTTGCCACTTCAAAACAAGACTTCAAAACTGCAGGATGAGCACTCAGCAAGAAGAACCAATGCTTTTGTTTCCTATAAATATCAGCTGTCCAAAAATATATCTCTATTCTTATTTCTCGAATACGCATTCGTATTTATCAATAAATATTTCATTACAGCCGTTATCAAAACATCAAAGGCTGCTGAAATGTTGTGCTTTGACTGACACTGCTCATCCCAGGCTTACATAACGCATCAAATGTTCATCTCCCACAGCAGACAAAACAGAATTAATATTTCAGTTGTGATGGGAAAGCTGGGGATACATGGAGAGGAAATGAGTTTGCATTCCAGCCAACACTGAGGCTGCAAAACGAGCAGTGGGAGCAGACAGAACACGGCCATGACCCGACCCTGCATTGCAGGACACCTGCAGCAGTGCCTCAAACCTCCAGCACAGCCCGGCTGCCATGGAGCATCCCTGAACGCTGCTCTGGGAGCAGCCCACAGCCCCATCTGCCATACAGAGCAGCCTGCTTGGAAGCACAGATCCTGTCCTGGGCAGAGCACTGTCCTCTGATTGAGGGAGGACTAAGCAGGAGCCCAACCTCTGTTTGCGTCACCGCGGGTTTGTTTACAGATAATGACATCCCCCACCACTCCCAACCTTGGCAATTCCACATCCCTGCGTATTTCCACACGGTGACTCAGCCCAATGAATCATTTAGGATGTTTGAATCACCCCGGGCAGCACCGGAGGGTCGGGGTAACAGAGCAACGCACAGCGCATTGCGCGGCCATCGGCACTCAAGGAAAACTATTTCATTTTCACAAGGAAAGAAAAAAAAAGAAAGCTTTCTTAAAACATTAACCCAAGGTGGGCAAGCCAGGCTTCTCCCATGCGGTGTGCTGAAAATCAAACCTGCACTTTGTGCTCAAGCCCACTGCAGTCAAATACACGGCATGCATGCAGGACTGTAATTGGAGACCGCAGAGAACGCTTTTGCAGGAGGCCCTTCCCTCTCCTCCCGTAATTACATCTCTGTAACAAAAAGCAGCTTTGGGGATGAGGCCACATCCTCATCAAAAGCAGCACATCCCATCCGGGTTGCACCCATGGTGCCTCATGAGCCTCGTGCAGCCCCATGCAGCCCCATGCAGCCCCCTGCAGCCCCACGCTCTCACCTCGCAGCTCGCCCAGGTCCAGCGTCTTCCCCAGCTGTTCCAGCAGCTCAGCCCTGGCCGCGTTCTTCTTGTGCTTCTTGCCATCATAATGCTGCTGGGCCATCACGGGGTTGTTGAACCACGCAGCACACAGCTGGCAGTAGCGATCCGAATCCCTGCGTGGCTGAGGTGGGGATGCTGCTGGAGGCCGATCCACGCGGGGCTGCTTCAGTGAGCCCAAGGTCTCTGCAGGAGGAAAAAAGCAGGCATCAGTGCTGTGCTGCACCAGGCTGCCAGAGCCCAAAGCAGAGCTGTGTTGGGCACAATAAGCAGCAGTTATTTCATAGAATGGCTTGGCTTGGAAAAACAGCAACACCATCAGCTGCTCGGGATAGAGGGACAGGTTTATAACCATCTCAGGGTTATTACTTTTCAATGTGTTTGGTCTCGGAAAGAATAGGGAAAGCTGTCACAATTTTTAGTGTCACAGGTGAAAAAACTGCTCAGTAGTCATTCTGCTCACTCAAATGTTGCACTATGGGTTGACAAGTGCAGCAGCCACGACCTTAATTTGGTCCCATTTCCCTTCAGATTCATACAAGGCCGTCTGGGGTCACAAACGTGACCTAAATAAATGCAAGAGAAAGAAGGGTGAGGGGTCCTCACTCTGTGAAGCCATTGGTTTCCAATGGCCTTGCCTGCCATTGGTTTCCTCCTATGTACAACATAAATTACAAAGCCTTGGAAAAGCAGGACAATACAATGCAGATAACACCGGGATGCAAAAATGCACAGCTGGTCATTAATTATCACACCTCATTCAAAAATGCCTTCTTTTTGCTCCCAAGTTTGTTCCAGATGAGATGCCCGATATCCACACAATACACCACGGTCACTCCGTGCTGAGAAGGGGCAACTTGAAGGCTGTGAGCACAGCATTCAGTGCCTGCGTGGTTCCAGAGAGTTCACATTGCTGCAAATCTTCAGCTGACCTACCCAGAATGAGCATCTATTAACTTTCCTGAAAGAAATCGTATCTTCCATCTCGTGTTACTCAACAACCTTATCTATTTCCAGGGCTTTATGAGCTCCCATTGTCCTGATGACAGCTGCTGGGGTGTCGGATGCTCACTGCCCACAGTGCTGCTGGTGCTCTGCTTTGGAGGAGAATTTTCTCACCTCAGCCATCGCGCCCTGCGACGCACCCAGCGCTGGCAAAATGAACTCTTTGGGGTGTTTGTTAATAAGATGACTGCAGTCATTAACTCCCGCTGGTGATGTTTGTTCTCTTCGTTTGACCATCCAGCCAACAGCCCGCTCACTGCCTTTGGATTTATTTCACCCCCTCCAAAAGGATTCCCATCACGTGGCCTCCATGTAACTCTGCACTGCACCAGGAGAGATTTCCATGCTCCATCGCTGCCTTTGGAGCACCTCAAAGTGCAGCCTCAGAGCAATTTGCTTTCAGTGCTGCTTCCAGCCCCGGGCCCTAAAGTTAAATCTGATGGATCCTCTGCTCAGCTTTCTCCCTGTTTGTATGTTAGCTGCTGCCAGAGGGGAACCACGGTGGCTTAACTCTGCAGAACTGGTGGTGTCTGCAGGAGTTACATCTCCTGCTCCTTAAGGAGACCCGAAAGCAGCATCTCTGCTGCAGGGCTGAGCAGTGCCCCCACCTGCAGCCCCCCGCCCCACACCCACCCGGTGCCTGGGGTCTCCTCTCAGCTCCCACAGCACAAAGCATCTCCTCAAGGCCAGTTTACAGCCCCTAAGGCGTGCTGAACCCGTCCTGACAGCCAACAGAAACACCCTGCATGTTCCAAATCCTCTTGCAAACAAACAGATGAAAGCTGACTTCCCACAAAAGTGGATTTATCATTCTGATCTCTGGTACGTAACAAGAACTGAACAGGAAACATCACCATTCCCCGAGCTGCAACACGAACATTAATAATAAACACTCCCAAGACGTTAAAAATGTTGCTCTGTCCTAACACACAGACATAAAAGCTGTGAGTTTGACTATTCCAAGTATTTCGAATGCTAAACAGCTCACGACACTCTGCCTTACATTCCCCTGTGCTGTGGGAGGGAAGCGAGAAGCCTTACTCTGCTGCATGAGGCAAAATGCAAAGTTAGAAACACTTAGCACTCTGCTGATGAACTCATGGCTGACTCTTTTTTTTTGCTTGAACAGTTTTGCATTCATAGCTGTGCGTAAATGGTGCCCAACCTGTCATCACTGCTGCTCTCCAAGAACTAAAGGAGGAGAGAGCAGCTGAGCCCCAGCTGAGGGCACTGCATGCCCTGTGTGTGGAGCAATGAAGGCAGCAGCTCTTTTCCCCCACAGCCCTCTATAACTCATCCTGGTGCCTGGATGCAAGCTGACGGTGTTGGACATGACTGCAGAAATTCATTGGAAATAGCAGTGACATAAAGCCTCGGAGGGCTACAACTTCCTACAGGAGAAGCAACAGAAAATCATCACCAATGTTGCCCTGTAGTGATCAGACACTGCTTTCCCCTTGTGAGAGCCCTTACTGCTAGGGCCCTCCTCCCTCTTCTGAAAGCACCAGCAGAGAAATTGGAGATCTGTGTTTTATCAGGATGATAAAATAGACAGGGAAGGTGTAGCCCCGTAAAGAGGCTGAGAATAAATCTAATTTTCTGTGAGACTGATGAGACAAAAAAACAGAATATTAAAGAGGGATTTGCTCAGCAGCAGACTGCAGCCGTCAGCTCGTACCGAGCATCTGCAGAGCTGCAGATCCAGCAGGAGGAACTGCCAGCATCAGGGCTGGGATTGAGCCCCTGCAAGTGTCTGCTGGGAGCTTGGGGGTCCCACTGCCTCCAGGAACTGGGGATGGAAATCCAGCCACAGAAATTCTGCAAATGCTTTGCTTTTGTTGAGCACGTTACCTATTTTTCAGTGCATTTTCTTTACTGGAAAACACTGCTCCTGAAAGAGCTCCAGGAAATTCAGCCTGAATTTCCCTGCAGCTCCAACTGCATTCATTAGTCTTCATTTTGTCCCCTCAACTCATTCCATCGCCACACACCACAGAGACATCCGTGTGGATGAGATAACTTCCAGAAACGTGCACAGAATTTCACAAATTCACCCCTCCCTTTACAATCAGACCCCCCCATTAAGCAAGCAGTCAATTCAGAGCTCTCCAGCAATGCTGGGTAGCAGTGTAGATGTCTGTGTAAAGCTATAAACCAGGCACTGCCATCTGGAGATAGTTTCCCATTTTGGTGCACTCAGCACCCCAGGATGGAGCAGGACATGTCCCATAGGGAAAGCATTGTGTCCAATGGGCACATTCCTGAGAATGGCTGGAGAGCCAAAAAAAAATACACTTATTAGTGTATTCCTGCATCTCAGCTTCATCAGATCAAGTGTACGGAAGGCTCAATGAGTCCTTGAGTTATTCCTTCCCAGTGATTACTGCAGCTGAAGAGCCCATTACTTACAGAGCATGTGGTGCAGCTCACTTATTGCCTCTGTGAGGCTGATTCAGATGATTAGAAAATTAAATGGAAACACAATGCGAAGCTGCAGCTCTCGGAAGCCATTGCCTGGGGACGGGAGGACTTGCTGCTGTCCGACCATCACCCATCCACACGACCATCACTTCTCTGCCTTCACTCTCTGCAACCTGGGACCCCAAATTGTATTTCTGTGGGCCCAAGAGACAGCACAGCTCCCAGGAGCAGCACAGGGAACTGCCACACCTGCCTTTAATGAGCCTTCCTAGAGTGCCCTCGTTAGTGGGAAGCAGCAATCCACCTACTGGCACAGCCCCCTGCATCCCCCAGGGAAAAGCCATAGCTTCCCTCAAGCCAATCGTGACAAAGGACAAACGATGCTTTCTGCATCAGCATCATCAGCCTGCAAAGTTAAAAACAACAACAACAACAAAAGCACACAGACAGATTAAAAAAAACAAATCCCTTCTATCACAATTGGTGGGATTTCTGCACGCCTCATTAGGCAGGATGTAAAACACACAGCAATGCCTGGGCAGGTATTAAATGGGGAGGCTGGTGGCCCTGCATGTGGCAGGGGGTTGGAGATTCGAGATCCTTGAGGTCCCTTCCAACCCATTCTGTGATTCTGTGATGCTCCTATCATGCTCTAAGCAGCAGTGAAGCACAGAGCTCAGACTGCGGGACAGCACAGCGATGCCAGCGCAGCTCCTGCTCTGTGTGCTGCTCTGTTATGGTCAGGCACACTCTGGCACAGCCAGGTTATCTGATTGCAATGTTTGACTTTTAAAATGTGAAAGTTAATAGGCTCGCATCATTGGAACCACCGCCGAGGAAAAGCGTGAATGCCCATCCGGGCGAAAATCAAAAGGTGATCGATCCAAAACATTTTTAAAGACTGCATTTCCCTCTGAGGTAAAAGCAAATGGGATTCTGCTCCGTGCAGTAACAGGAAAGGTTTATTACATGCATTAGCTAAGCTGTCAAATAACTTCTGATAGTTACGGTGAGGCTCAGCCACTGCCTGGCAGAGCTGCTGCCTTCCAGGGAGCAATTCATGAACACGGAGATGGGCATCTGGCAGGAGGCAGCACCGATGAGCATCCATCTGCCCCAGCCCAGCAGACAGCAGTGATGTCTCCCCACCACCCCCACCTACCTGTGGCCTTCAGCGCCGGTGGCTCACCTAGCAACAGCTTTAACCTTTTGGCATGGATTTTCCCTTGGTAATGCGATTCAGCCACCACTGCTGAGGTAAAGGACATGTTACATAGCGTGCAGCATTTGTTCTTATCCACTGAGTCACCGTCGCTGCCCTGCAAGGTGATAGAAAACACAAGAAAGAGGTGCATCATCCCCAGGAAGGAGGAGGAGGACCTGAGTTATGTCAGCTCCGTGCTTCGCATGGGTCCCTCCACCCACACTGCCATGCAGCTTGATGGCCTCGATCTCCATTTCACATCAACTGCACAGGCAGCTGGTAAATGCCTTCTGCAATTTGCCCAAATGAAGAGATAGAAGAAGACCCAGGATTGTGGTTGGCCCAGTGCTGGACAGCCAGCAATGGTCTCAAGCATGGGTTCCCTTTGGCAACCACAGCACCCAAACCAGCAGCACTGCGGTGACACAGAGCCCCAATGCTCTATGAAGTTATTCCAGAGCTATGGAATGGGACAGAGGCACTGAGTGAGGACAGCAAGCTCAGAGCAGAACCTGCAGCCAAACCCGACCCATAGTCAGGGTCATCCTTCCCTAAGAAAGAAGCACAATTAGAAGGAGGACTGATTTTCATCGCTTTTTTGTTATTAACCATAAATCAACTTAAACCTTAGGGAGAAATCTCAAGAGGTGATAAGTACTGTTCCGTGTGCAATTTGCAGCTCTTTTAAGCAGGATTCTCTCAAGATATTTTACGTCTTCAAAGAGAAATCACTTGAAAGTTAAGAGCAGAGTAGAAAAAAATTCCCAGCCTCTATTGATCATCAGCAGTGGTAACATATACAGAGCCTCCAACAGAGACCGTTTGAAAACCTGATACTTCAGTGTGTAGCAATAGGGTCTCTCCTCTTGTTCTCCTCTTTGACAATGATTTTCTCTTTCCAATCCAATTTCACAGACAGGCTACAGTTAAAAAAAAAAAAAAAAAGCTTCAAACAACCCTTGGACCCCTGAGCTTCACATCTACACCAATGGATGCTTCCGGGAGAGCATCTCAGGGCATGGGTGAGATGTCACCACCAGACCAGGGGTGCATCCTCAAGCACCCACCCCAACAGCAGTGCAGCACCACTCTGCCCTGCCATGCCCTGAAGGGTAATTATGCCTGGCCTCTTTGTCAGCGGCTGTTTTACCTGTAACCAGATGGGCTGGGGGGAACCTGACCCGTTGTCTTTTGTCACCTGCTGATTGATGCCTCGCTGATGGGATTGTGCAGCCAAGCGGTAAAACAACATCACTCCTCAACCAGGGCACAGAGCCCAGCAGCTCCCCATGGCCTTTGTGCTGGGGGCACAAGCCTGCAGCATCCCTAACCCTGCTCAGCCCAAAGCACAGCAAGCAGGCACCATTTAGTTCCATACAACCCACGCTGCACAAGCTGAGCCGGCGTGCAAGGGATTTTTCTTCCTCCCGTCTGCTTCTGTAACTTTCTCCTGGCAATCCTTCCTCTCTACCCTTTGCAAAGTTGGGGTCACAACCTCCATCAGCCACAGGGCAGCACAGTCCTGGCAATCACTGTCTGCTTCCCAGTACTGACTCTGCTCTGCAGCAGCACAGGACAGCCCAGCACGCAGGGGCTTCTCTTTGTGATATTACAAACTTCAAAGCAAATCTCGTGCATCCAACAGAATTAGCTTCAGCCATTCAGCTGCCTGTTAACAGCTGCTAAAAGGCATAATCCTCACGCAGGGCCAGGCAGCAGCAGTGCTTTGCTGGATGTTCCCTAAGCAATCCTCAAGAAAAGTATGGATTTTTAATCCGTAGATACAAATCTGCTGTCTGCATTTCCTGGGTTTTACTGAGAAGAAAAGATTATCCAAACCCTTGAAATACAGCAGTACGAAACGTGGCACTCAAAGCATTGCAAAGTGTCTTAAATTTGAGTTAATTTTCTGTGCTTGAAGAAGGTTCTGCTGTGAAGGTGCTAGCAGGAATGCAGGATATTTTTATGCTCCCCAAAAAACAGCAGACAGAACTCTCCATGCCATTCAGAGGCCAGGTAGCAAACACTGAAACTCTCAAAGCCTTTTCCATGGAGCATCTATAACTGCAGAATCTTCTCTTTCTCAGCTGTGATTTGTGGAAGGAAACCAAAGTATTTCGGTTTTATGGCCTAAAGGATACAACAGAAATGGAATGCAGCTCTGCAGCAGTGCAGCTTTTTATTTTTTTCTTAGTGTCAGAAATGTACTTGGTTTGCAAGGACTATTTCTAATATTCATTAAAGTCAGTACGTCACAGCTTGACTGATACTGGTAGACATCTGAGCCGGGCAATGCAGCTGCATCCTTTATGCAGTAATGATGTTACTCTGCTGCCTCAGAGATGCCCTAAATATTTCTGTTCCCCCTGCATGCAGAATCTTGGATAAAGCTGATAAGCAACAGGGCTGCTTTGCAAACACGGAGCTGTAAACATGGGCAGATTTTCCCCGCCACGTTGTTACGATATTAATGACTTCAGAATGTAGGTCTGGTGTAGCAAATCACCCACCTGGTTCATAAGGACTCGCTCAATTCAGCCCCATTAAGGGGCACTGAATCAGCACTGAATGACCTGACTTCTCGCTGTGCCTTCTTATAAAAGAAATGGGAAGTGGTTCAGCTCGGACTTACTTAAGGTCTATTTGCTTCTGTAGTCACCATCTCAGTGTGCTGAGGTGTGTGTGTGTGGGTCTGGGGCTCATTAGATGTAAAGGAGCTCGTTAAAGAATTATGTTCCAAGCCTATATGTGCATGTCCACTCCATCTTTCACATCCTGCAATTAATCACTCAGTAAAAATAGGCATGAGATCCCGTTGTGATGGGGCAAACTGCATCTGCAATTACCCTGCGTGCAACATAAAAGTTCTGCTAAAATTTTAATTACTGCGTGAAGGAGCTTTCAGATCCCTTTGGCAACTCTTGCAGGCTTCTGTCTTTAATTAGAAGATATCTTGCTAAATATTGATAGCGTGAGCCACAGCCACACGTGGATGCTGTCTGCTGGAAGCTCAGCAGCAGCTCTCATGCAGCCCAGCACACAGGGAGGGATGGATGCAGCTACTCCCCAACCTGCAGCACAACCTGACCCGGCTGCTGCAGGCTGCTTGGACCTTGTGAAGCTGAATAAAAGTCAGATATTGGCTGCCAACATATTCTTTTTCCAATGAAAGAGCATTGCAATAACTAAAAATGCAATTACAGCTGCTGATGCACATCATATTTCTTGTACAGTTTACTGAGAATTATTTCCAGTTACTTAGCATTGTGGCTAATCTAAACGTTACCTCTGGGGACCTGATTATCTGCAGCAGTTACAAAAAAATGCACAGAGGCAATGATTCATGGAGCAAACAGGGACTGGAGGTATACCCACGTTTTCTGAGCGGAGTTTTTTGGCTGGACAGCCTCCGTCGATGGGGTGAAGCATGTAATAGAGGCGAACTTTGCTGGCGTGTTTCCGACTCTGGAAAATAAGAAAAGGAGAAAAAAAAAGAGAAAAAAAAAGGAAGAAATGAGGTTTCAAAAAGCAAACGTGCCTTGTAGAAAACCAAACTGCAGTGACATTTCATGTCCCGTTGAGAAGTGTCTCCAAGTGAAGGATGCCATGTCTCACGGAGCCGAACTTACAGTGGGCTCAGAGCATCTGCTGTCTGCACTGACAGCTCCGTGGGCATGGGGAAATAGAAGAGGTGAGAGGAGAGCAATGGTTGTTATCAGCCCATTTCCATTCCAGGAGAGACCGAAGAGGTCGGGGCCATTTGGCTTCAGGAGGAGATGGGATGGCATCACCAGGGATAGGATGCACGCACGCAGACAGAAGCCTGCAGAGTTCTTTCATTTCCAGCAGAATAAAATAAAATAACATAAAGGGAATAAAATCTCACTCTAGGAAATAAGCCAACCGATACCTGCCAAAGGTTTGAAAGAAATTTCCCCCGCGGGTAAATTACCAGATAATTGTGCATTATGTGAAACCTCCTGCTCTGCTGGGAAGCAGCTGCTGCTGGCCCCGCATCACCCTGCAGACAGCACTGCCAGGACCTGGTCCAGCTGCAGCCACACAGGGGTGCTGGGTGCTCTGTGTGCACCTCCTGAGCCATAACTCCATTGGGGAGAGCAGCCTGAAGCCACTAACTATGTGCATCCGTGGCCCAGGCCTGCAAGGCAGCTATTATTATGCAAATGTTCCTCCCAATCTCCATTTCTGATTGCCTCGCAAGAACAACGGCCCCGTAATATTATAATTTCAGATCGCAGATTTGCAATTTTAAAATATTAAATTATCATTAGCATGTACTGGAACATTCTTCTTCCCGCGGCGTGAACTTGGAGCTAAATTTGCACAGAGCTAAATTTGAATGCATAAATGTGAACTAGGCAATAATTTATTTTATTTTCTTTTTTTAAATGGAGCAAATCAGTCAAGATAAATAATGACAAATATCTCTCCCTTCCTCCTCTTCCTGCATGCATTTAGGAAATGCTGTTTGGTCCCTGGCAGAGCTCAGCTCTACGCCTGTTGCTCTGAGTGGGGCACAGGAAACCCCAAAAGCTCCACCTCCCAGTGATTAGCAGCCTGGGTGGTGATAATTAAGAGATGACATCAGAAACATTTGGAAGCCAAAGGACAGATGTGTGCTGGCTGGCTGTGTGCAGCTACAACCGCTGAGTTCAGCAAACAGCAAAGTTTTTCCGTGTTTTGTTCTGGGTATAAAATGTTTCTCACTTTATTTATGCATTTGTTCAGACCTGAGAATGCCAAGGAAAAGGAATAACTTATGTTTGGCATCATCGTAAACGACACGCTCCTTATGCAGCCTTATTATCCTACGGTTATAAAAGCAGAGCTTAAAATCATCCCTGGCTTTTAGCAGCCAGCAGTGAGTGCCTCATTCCCTCTGAGGAAGCAGAGGTAGCACAGCCCATTTGTCAGCTCGTGTTATCTCTGGCCTTCCCCACATTTACATTTATCATCCTAACACCGCAGCCGGAGCGAAGCAGCGACCCTTGGTGTGCTGCTCACCAACAGCCCTGCTGGTTTTCTCCTCCCCTCCACAGAGCCACCAGCAGTGGTGACACACTGGGAGGGTGACTATTGGTAGCAATGCTCCACAACAGTGATGCTCTGCAGCCACAAGACGAGCTGTGTGGGGTTTGCTGGGTTCCAGCCCTGGAGAAAAGCTGGGAAGAACAGCGCTGCTGGTCCAGGAGGTGCTCAGCACCCAGCCAAGTGCAGGCACCAAAGGAGCATCCACATACAGGGAACACCAAATTGGGATGGATGGGATCACACAGATCCCATTCTGGTCCCTCTTACAGCACGCACGAACCTTAGAAAAGGAAAAAAAAAGCTTTGACACAGACGTAAATTCATGGTCTTCAACAAGAGCACTGCCTTTGAACACGTCTGCTCCTTCATCAATAGGCACCACAACTTCATCTTAAGAGTTTCTGTGCCTCTCAGTGTTCTTTTTGTAGATCTACAAAGCGTTATGCCAAAGGCATTTTCACTTCAATCCTCTGTCTCCAGTGTCTGCACACAGCTCCTGTAACGGGGAAGAAGTCTATAGACTACATCAGTACTGCACACCTCAAAAACACCCCTCTCTGTGGGCTGGGGAGCTCCGGAGGAGGCTGTTTTCACATAGCAACTGCAAGCTCCTGCACTGCAAGCTCATCTATTGTTGGAAGGCTCATCCATAAAATTAGGCAAATGGATCATTTATATCTCTATCAAATCTATTCTAATCCCAAGGACTGTGGCAGAGGCAGCAGGATCCCAGAGATTCAACCTCAACAAATGAAAGGGCAGAGCCCTACGTTGTGCTAGGGAATGCAATCTGATTTTGCATAAATCGAGTTTTGCAGCACAGCTCTGTCCTGAGCACACAGCAGGAGCAGACAGTGTGGACTCTGTGGGCAGACGACAGCTGAGGACCCGTGGCTGCAGATGAGCCCTGGGACACAGCAATGATTTCTGCTTTTGCAGCCAGGACAGGAAGGGATGAGAGATGAGAGCTCGGGCTTACAGAGGATTTGCTCCCTTGCTGCAGTAACTGAACAGATTTTTGTGCATTTCCCAGCAGCAATGTCCTTGGGAAGGATCTCAGCAGGTAGGGAGTTTCTGACAGAGACTTTGGCTCTGGGTTTGCTGGGCTGCAGCCCACAGCAGCCCCAGGGTCTGTTCCCACCCAGCACCATTGAAATGATAAGACCTGACAGCTGCAGATATTCCACCAGCTTGATCCCAACCACCTCACCAGGTTCAAACCGCTCTGCTGCTGAACTGCAGCTGTTTCTGATCCACCTTCTCCTGTCCCACAGTTGGTTCATTGCCTGCTCTGCACCCACTGCTCACAGCAGGGGCACAGACAGGGACAGGAGCAGGAAATGAGAGCAGGAACTGTGAGGGCACCACTAATGGCTGTGGCATCACTTCACCTGCAATAAATTCTTCCCCAGAAGCCTGTTGGTTGGCTTTTAATCCTTTTAGCGTGCACCGTTCCCTTTTTTGCACGCTGTCTGTTCCTTAATTAAATCATCACAAAACATGCAGTCATACAATTACATCAACTGCATTATCTGTATGTGCCCTACTTGCAACCTCCACGTAAGAGATGAAGGTCAGCTCCCCAGACCTCGTGCAGAATCCCAACCACGATGTCCCCATGGAATGGCCCCACGGAGCCCCTCCTGGAGCTGCAGTGCCCCCAGGGACCCCTTCCACTGGCCAAGAAGCAGCAGTGACAGCATTGGGCATGGGAACAGCCCTTTCTGGTCAACTGAGCTGCAAACAACCGGACCAGTTGACTCGGTAACGCAATAGATTTGAAAATCTATTTAACAAACTTTCAAATTTCTACTGGAATGGAACCAACTTCTCCCTCTTTCTGTGATATAACAACATCCTCTGCTTTTTTTAAATAGAGAAGTATTTTCAGAAATCTCCTTCCTTTTTCTACCTCCCCTGCCCACACAACAAGCAAACACTATTGTCAGATCCCCGTTGGTCGCAGAGACAAACTCCGTCTGTTATTCCAGACGCTGCTGGGTGCCAATGTCCTTTTTCTCCCTTTGTCATTTTTGCAAAGCCTCATTTATAATTGACGGTCATTTCCATCCACTTCCTCTTCTTCCTCCGTGAGTTAATTTTTTAAAATGTGTCTGTTCATACTTATGACTTTGTGAGCACACAGAGACGTGTCCGCAATTCCCAATTGCGTGCAACTGAATTTCCACCACCAGGAAATGCTTCTTTATAGCAACAGGTGGAAATGCTGCCAGTTTGGATACTAATCTGCCCACACAAAGGCAATTAACTGGTGAACTATTCGATACCTGCTCAGCATGTATTCTCAACCTGTCAAACCCAAAGCACTCCCTGCTCCTGAGCCCCACAGAAGCAGCCTTACTGGGTGCCATAGGGACCTTCTATGGGTTCACTGCACTGCCAGCACGCAGCGATGGTCCTGGCACGGGGTGGGAAGCAGCACCAGAAGGGTTAACACAACCACAGCATCTCCACACCGTGCTCAACCAGCACGGTGCTGCGAGCAGCAAACAGCAGCAGCAGCTCCTGCTCTCATCGCATCCCCACGTGCTTGAAACAAATCACTTTTAAAGCATGTCAGTGCAAATCGCTGCTCTGCCCCCGTGCAGTACGTGGGCAGACTTTGTCACAACACAGAGATAACTGAAGGCTCTGCTTTCAAACACCTGGAACCCAAATCCAAACACGGCTTGTGAGTTTAAAATATTAAAGGAAAGCAGGAATCGATACCTGGTACACAGCAATGCCTCCCTGAGCACCATCAGCACAAAGCAGCGTGCCGCTGCCTCCAACCCAGAGCCACTCTGGCTGTTTGGGGACATCCCTGGGGCTGCCCCATGACCTCTGCCCCATGAGACCCCCCCCAGTGCGTTTGATTTCTCAGCAGTCCAATGAACTTGGGCTGTTTTCAGCCAGAAACGGGAATTGCACAGAGGAGCCACAGAAAGGGAGCTGGGTGAGAAGGCTTTATTCGCGTTGCTGCTATTTAGCAATAGATTTGGACACTGGGAGTGCATTAAAAATAATGTTTGGCCATTAATGTTGACAACAGCACAGTAACACGGAGCCTCGTAAAGTACCAGCTGAAGCTAAAGAGGTTTCCTGAAGCAGCTCTGAGCACATGCTGCATGCAGAGAAGGCAAGGGGCATCGCAACAGCCCCCCCATAAGTGCTGACACCAATGCACACCTCCCACAGACACTGCTGGGTCACACACACCTCACTGTGCTTTCCTGGCTGCTGGCACATGGCACAAAGCAGTGCTGAGGGAGCCTGCAGAAGGTCCCTGTGAACACACACAGGAACAGAACAACACCTGCAGCACCCAAACCACGCACAAATTCTTCCTTTAGTCTCTTTGTAAAGTCAGAGCAGCCACTAAAAACTGTGTCATGTCATCCAGCACAACAAAGCCAATTCTCCACAGCTGTGGGAAGGACGCAGGCACAACGTTGGACACATTCTCTCCTCCTCCAGCCCCTGTGAAATCAAAGGTTGCTCTCTCTAACACAAACCCAAGGGGCAAACAGCAATGCTAGCACCATTACTGTTCCTTCACCAGCACACAGCCAGCACCAGTGGGCACCAGTGTGTCTTTTCTGACCCCCCACCCTGGAAATGCCCACACAGCATCCCCCGAAGGGAGCTCCCACCAGACACAGAACATCCCTGCTCCCTGTGTTCCGCTGCAACACGTATTTTGTTAACAGGAATTCGTGCTTTTAGGTTAATATGTGCACCGTGTTAATATTTCAGATACAGGATTGGCTTTCTGAGCACACACATTTTGCTGCTTGGAGCACCGATGTGCCAATGGTAAACAATGTTTATTATTCCTCCAGACAAACCATCACCCTATGCAAAATATCCTAGAGCAGGACTGACTCGTGGAAGCAGATGAAGTTGGGCACCAAGCAGACGAGCAGCACTGATGGAGCTGTTGATGCTGCCCATCCTGCTCACCGTGGCAGGGTGAGAAATTCCAAAGAGCTCTCAGCTCCCAGCAATGAGCCAAAGGGCACAGCACTGTTTTTGTTCCCTGTTTTTGTTCTGCATTTCAATTTGAATACACCTTGCCTCTGCCCTCCCCCTGCCTCCACAGCAAGCGTTGAAGCAGCGTTCCCTCATGCCACAAGGTGAACCAATAACAGCAAATCCACGTGATGTATTCCTGGGCATCTCTTCCTACCAGCCTGCTCCATTTCTTCATTTTAAATGAAAAAGTAAAGTACTGCCTGAACACCTGAAGCAATAAAGATTACCATGAAGGAAAGCGTTATAGCAGCTTAAGGAGCAGCGTAGCGATGAGCATGCAGCTCAAGGTGGGATCTGAGAGCAACTTTGCATATTTGGTAATTTTCCTGCATGATTTTCAAGGAGAAACTTGAAAATGAAAGGTAACATCTTTCTAATGGCTGTGAACGCCTCTGTGCAGCAATGAGGACTTGGAGCTGACTGAGGAAGCTTATCTTTCTAACTGTACACAGCAGCACACCAGAGGGACTGCTACAGCCCTGTCTCAAAGACAGAAGTGGAAGGAAGTGTTAAATTATGGGTGATTGGATGCAGAAGAGCAGAAATCCTCTCCGGAGCAAAGGATTTCAGTGCAGTTGCAGCAAATGAACCACATTTCTTCCTCCCTCTCCCTCTTTGTTTGGCACGTTCCACAGCACTTCCAACATTACTGCTGTCCTCTGATTTCTCCCACACGTGGCACAGCAGCTCCACAGGGACGGAAAGGTGAGCAAAGGTGCCACAGATGTATCAGAGAAAGCCAGAGACGGGACTGCACAAAGCACATAAAATCAGGGCAGGATTTTGCTGTATGTCAGGTTGGAAGCAAAAATATGCTGCAAACACACTGATTCTTTTGTCATTTTTTCCACTACACTTGCCCTTGGAAATAATACCACTTAATACTGCGCGACTGACATCAAATTATTTCTTATTCCTGGCAATGTAGTGCAGCAGAAAAGGAGAGTTATTGGTGGATGACTTGGAGAAGGAGATGAGACAGCGATTGGAACTGACTATTCCTGTTTGGCAAGATAAAGCATCCCCCTTTCATAGACTGTTTTCCTCTATTTTCTTACAGAGAAATGTCTTATTCTGCACGCACAAAGGAGCCAAGATCCCAACGCCTGGCACAAAGGCTGCAGATCTGGGCTGTGCTGGAGAGCTAAAGGCTGAGCTGCCCTTCTCCCTGAGCTCAGTGTGGGTAAGGGCACTGCTGACCAAACCAAACCAACCACAGGGGAAAACACTGCACAGCCCAACGGGCACCTCAGCATCGTGGCACTGCCGTGCTGGGAGGTCCCAAGAGATGACACGCAAACAAAACACACCTCAGACTGGAAATATACAGCAAGAAAACCTTGGTGTTTTCCACGGTTTGAAAACACCTGCTAGAAATTAATGATTCAGCTCATACCTACAATTAAAGGCACGGAAGAAAAGAGATTGGCTGAGCATCCCACTGCTCGCACGGGCCGCTAATGCTGTTCCTGCAGCAACGTTTCTGCCTCCGGTGGAGCAAACCTTGGCAGCCACTCACCCGTTGGCCCGGAGCTGAAGGTGTCCCTGAGCTGCAGCCCTCCTGTCTGCCAGGCTCCGTGCTGCAGAGTGCAGCCAAGGGAGCACTTACAGGAAACGTCTCCAGGAGTTTGCCAAAGCAGAAGCGTCAAGTGCCTTATAAATAAACGTGCATTATTGTTGTTGTTTACTAATCCAGCACAGCATCCTTGGATACTGTGCACCCATTAAGCTTCTCGCACGTCTCCTGTGGTCGCAGGGAGACAAGTGGTTCTTCATTGCTAAACGCTCGCAGCAAAACTCCGGGGGAAACTCCATCTCCAGGGCCTCGTATCACACAGTGTCTGATTCTGCTTGTGCTGCTGCAGACCCTCTCAGTTCACCACGTGCAGAAGCAAGGCAAGGCGCAGCCCAGCCTCTCCATCCCTGCAAATACAGAGACCCTCAGTCCCAGGCTCACCCATTTGTGAGGCTGCAGGGGGGGCTCAGACCCACAGCCCCAAGAAGCAGCATTGCCAGGCAGCAGTTTTCTTTCTGGATGGATCTCACAGCAGCGTGCCTTTCAATTTCCTCCCTCGTTTAATAGGAATTTATTTAATTTTGTTTTGAAGATAGGCAGTGCCGTTAATTGCTGTTCTAACATGTCTCTAATGATATATCCCTTCTAATTGTTTATTGCTTCCCTACCTCTTAAGTGCTTGAATGCATTCACAAATACTAATCTGTTCTCTGCACAATCAGCTATCCCACTCAGCAAAGTACAGCGAGGCACATTTAAAATAAAGACTTGCACTTGTTTTGCTGAACTCTATAGCAATCTCCTTGCTAGCCACATTTCTTTACAACCGTCTTTTAGCAGAGTGTAGCCTGACTTTGCAGATTTAGGCAGGCAAAATAAAGCAAGCAACATCGCAAGTGACATCATTTACAGCATAATGTAAAAGCAAAAAAACCACTCTTTTGAATTCTGACTTTTCAGAGAGGTGCTTTGAAGGCTCGTGTACCCACTTCATAGAACAGCTGAAGCCACAGGTGTGAGAGGCACCGATGGAGCATCACAACCCACCCGTGATGAACAAAGAGCATCCTACCTCATAGTGAGCCACGCGCTGGGACTCGGATATCAGCTGCGCGCTGCACACTCTGCAGTAACTTTCAGTGAACAACTCCTGGTCAATGTCAGAAGATTTCATCTGTTCACGGCAACAAAGAGAAGAGACAACAAACAGATTTAGTTCCAAAGCAGAAGCAGTTGTGTTCGATGGAGGTCCCTGTGGGCCAGAGGTCCTTGGCAGTGCAGGATGCACGCGGGAACCTTCAGCTTTCTGCCCACCATGCAGGAACCCATGGGTGTCAAACCCTGCTTTACAGCCACGCTGAGCCCCGGCAGAGCGAAAACCACCATTAGGAACTTCAGAGAGAGGAAATTCAAACCAAACCAAAACAAACAATTTGCAATTCAAGAGGGAAATAGAGGCCAATGCTTTCTGACTAATGCCAAGATAAAGCGTCTATTAATTCATAATCATAACAAACCCAGGCGCAATGAAGACTGATAATGTGGTTTTTATAGCATTTATTCTGCTGATTGGGAAGGAAAACAACACGACAATGACCGAGTTATGAGCTCTCATAGCAGGAAGGCAGGCGGGGGAGGCCCTGCCAGCTGCAGGAAAAGCTCCTTTTGGTGTTCTGGATCTGCCAGACAAAAGGTGCAAACCCCGGAGCTCCCCTGCTGCCCTCACTCACTGATTCTGCAAATCACTGCTGGTTTTCCCCTCTTTCTTCCTAGGTTTAATCTTCATTTACTCTGTCTGGAATACTGCTGTATTGGGAAACTTTCAAAGACGCCAGAAGAACCTTTTAGGAGTACAAGTAGTGCTGCAAAATTGCATCAAAGGCAAAATAAAGTGGGAGAAACAACCTCTGAAACACGACAGATTGACACGAGGCAAACCAAAGAATCTCATTAAATCTTAATCCAGCAGCCAAACAGAGGCGTATCGCCTTCATCTGCATGCAGTCTGCAGCACTCACAGTATAAACTCTCACTGCGAAAATCAGAGTGAGTCAAAACTGCTCAGTGTTAGCTCAGCCCTTCCTGCTCTGATAACAGATCCCAGGTCTATTTTGCCTCTGTATTACAGCCATGTGAGTGGAGCTGTATCAACACCCCCCCCCCCCCAATTTCCTTTATTGCAGCAGGGGCTAAACGGGCTTATCCAAGAACAAGATTTAATGTCCTTTCTCTAAGCAGTAACTTCTGACTCAGAGATAGGATTTGTTAGCTTCAATATTGTCTGCTCGGTTTTATGCACCATTGTTACAACAGAAGGATGAAATGCATCCCAACAGGTGAATGCAGTGATTATGCTGACAACGTGAAAGCTCTGCAGCTTTGTGGAGTGATTCATGTGTAACTACTCAAGTTCCCTAATAAAGTCTCGCTGGAACAACAGACTCTAAAGCAATGCATCAGGAGCCCATGGCAGACTGTTGTGAGACAATTAAATTAGTGTTAAAAGGTAACCGATCTGGAAGTCTTCTCCCTCAGTCACCATCCCCAGTATTCACACGATGTTTGGAGTGCTGGAAATGAGGAATTACCACCACGAGATCACACGTGTCTGGCCTTGGTTCAGACCTCTGCTGTGCTCCCATGCACAAGCAAATCCACAGCTTGAGGAACGTCGCTTTCACCCAAAAAGCCAACCTCTGTGGCTGGCTTTCTGCTCAGCCTACAGCAGCATTCACCTACCAGCACCCACCTGAACACACCGCCCTTGCAGAGCTACCACTAAATCCCAGATACCTCGAGGCTAAGTTTGAACTCAATGCCTGTTCAGAAAACAGACTCTTACCTGTCCTACATCAGCATAACAGGAAGGCAAAGATCCCCTTCTCTTTTCACTGTGCTTCTTCACTGCCTCTCTGCTGCCTGAGAGCATCTCCACGTAGCCTGGAGTGCCACTCTGAGTGCTGACATTTGTGCACATGGCAGTGTGAGCTGCTGGCTCTGGACACAGCTTTTGTGTTCATTGATTCGTTCACATTCCCCAAATATTTCTTTTATTTTCCATTCCAGGATAACAACGCTGCTATGGCAGTATATCAGAAAGGTGCCAAGGAAACCTGCAGCCAAACAAATGAACACACACACACCTCTACATCACATAAACCACGCTGCCACTGTTGGAGGACACTGGGGACCCTGCACAGCAACTGCAGGACTATGCCAGCATCAGCTGAGACCCACCTGTCCCCTGCAGAGGGGTCTGCACTGTGGGCAGCCCCACTGGTGGCATCTGCTGCAAGGGCTCCGTCTGCAGCAAAGGCAGATCCCAGACACGAAGCCTGGGGGTAAAGAAAACAGTTCTGTTGTGTCACTCCCTGACCTAAAAACAGTGCTTTCATGTGCTCCAGAAAGGCCTTTCTCCCTCCCTCCCCTCGCTGTGTCTCAGACACATTCTGTATTGTTTTGTGGGTCAGTGCCAGCAGTGATTTATTAACTTCCTCTACCTGAGAGTGTCATAAAGGGAGTCCATCAGCAATTAATATTTATGCATTTCTAATCACTTAATTCCTTTTTAACTCTCCCTGCCTACCAGCACCTTACAGCTCGCAGAATTGCTGGGTTGGGACAATCCCCACCTGCACCCTTTGCCAGAAGAGATCCAGGCTGTGCCCCACCAGCACCGTGCTGGAGAAGTGCAGATGCTGAGCAAGGAGAGATCTGTTCCCTGCATGTTCCCAGAGGTTTTCTTGCTGAGAGCTGAGGAATTAATGTGCAATTTACACCCTGCCAGCCACACTCAGTGAGCAGAAGCATCGGGCTGCACTGCATGGTGTGAGCACCCAAAACTCCTTGTCTGCTCCTCCTCAGGTGCAGATATGGGTGACGGGGCTCCCACCACAACCACCTCCTCTCCTCCTCTCCCCACAGCGGGGTTTATGACTCGCTATTTCCTCATGTAGGCACTCAGGTTTTGGTGTTCCTCTCCTGCTCCGTAACCCCTGCACATATCAGAATGGCAAACTGTCATAAGAGCCCTCATTTTAAATACCTTCTGCCATATGGCCACGATTCTTCTCAGCAGTTTCAGTGACTATAACGGCTTAATGAAAATCAATTTGATGGGGCTGACTCCAGCTTTTGGCAACCACCAGGAAGATGCTAAGTTGCATTCAATTTTTAGAGGAGAGAAATCAACATCTTGACACCAGGGACACCTCAGTGCTCTTTTCCAAACGCAACGGTTCTACGATTCTACGACGTACCCAAAGCCACATTGCTTCTTTAAGGAGCTGTGCTGCAGCTGAAACCCAGCAGACGTGGACACGTGCTGTGCCACGCTGGGATGTGAGCACCCAGCTCTGAGCCACGGATGTGGTGCTCCATCACTGCTCAGTGTGAATTTCTGCAGAGGCTCGTTTTTCATGTTGCACAGCCAAGCACAGGGAAGGCTGTACTACAGAGCACTGAATTCAGCAACTCCATTTCTTGCAGTCAAGAGGAGAAAAATGTTGTCCTTCATAACATTTACTCTCAAGGGCCTTAATCACCTTTCCCAAAATTAACAGCTTCCGAAACCCCTGCACTGAAGCACCAGAGAAGTGACGACTGAGCATGTGCACGAATGCCAGAAGCAAGCAAGCCAAAAATTAAATGCCCTGATTTTCATTTTATGAATTATTGGTGCCTGTCACTCTCTCATGGATTAACATCTCATGTAACACTTCCTGTTATCTTCAGTTGTTTAATTTGTCTTGCAACAACAAAAAAAAAGTCTATGCTAATAATTAATGTGCTTTCAGCAACTGTGTCACCGCACTTACAAGAAAGCATCTGAAGAAATGCAAAACACTGCCTTTTGAAGTGCTGTATTTCAACACTACGACGGATGGCTGAGCCTGTTCCATGAGTTCAGTTCTCCTTGGGCTGCATGCTTTGGGGTTCAGCTTGCTCTGCTCCAAACCAAGCTGCTCTGTGCTCCTCCAGCTGTGCTGCACATCTGTCTGCACCCCTTCCGTGCTTCACTTTCCCTGCATCTCTTCCCTGGTTCAGGGTTCATCCACCACCTCCTTCCTTCTCTCCTCTCCAGCGTCAATTTGCCTCACTCCTGCCTTCAGTCTTTGATGCATTTTGACACGCTTTATTGGAGCTTTGAAAATCAGAACAAGACTGTGTGTGGCGTGAGCTGGAGAGCAGGAGAAACGCTGCACGTGTCTGCTGCATGTGTCAAAACATAGAGGAAAGGCTGAGGGGAGTGACACGGAGGAGATGGAACACGGACACAACCTCTGCCAGCCACAAACCAGCGCTGCACAACTTCCCCATCCCCAGCAGCTCTGTGCTAGGAGCCACCTCAGCACAGACTCAGACAGCAATGGAGAAGAGTGCGCATGCAGCAGAGAGCACGACCCAGTGCCATGGACTGCTGCATGGGTGGCAGAGGTGGGATGCTGCAAGGTTTAAAGGGAGGAACGCTGCAATTTGGAGAGCAGCTCGGTCCCTACAACGCGTGCAGCTGGTTATACCTACAAATTCTTTTGATTATTCACACTGCTACGGTGCGGCAGAATTTAATTGCGAACATGCTGACTTGAATAAAAACGTATTTAAAGAGAAGATTGATCTATTGTGACTGATTTAATAAAGTTGGTGGGAACAGCACTAAGAGCAATCGTATTTCGTGCCTCACTGTGTGCCCAGCACACCTCAAGGACGAGGCTTTGGCACCTGCCCCAGAGCAGCCCGGTTGTGCAGCTCAGGCCTTTTCTCAGCAGGGATGTGCCCAAAAGAAGGGGCCAAAGCAGCCCTCGTGCAGGCTCTGGGGACAAAGGGGCTGACGCAGCCAAAGGCAGCAGAAGGACTCACTCATATTGGGATGCAGGAGCGGATGGGGGCAGGAAAGCGCAGCCCTGGGGCTGCGTGCTGCACGGCGGGCAACGCGGGGCTGGCACTGGGTGCCCAGCAGGCTGGCACACTGCAGAGCCAGGGTTACCATGTGATGCTCGTGGTTGCTATGGAAACAGTAGTTTCTCATGGAAAACACGCATCAATAGTCCCTGTGCCTCCCAGAGCAGAGCGCAGTCAGCGCTGCCAGGGTGCGGGCACACAGGTCATGGGCTGCCCAGTGCTGGGTGCCAGGGCTGTGCTGCAGAGTGCTGTGCTGCTCAGCCCCCACGTGCA